CTACTCTCTCTCTCTCTCTCTCTCTCTCTCTCTCTCTCCCTCTCACACTTTTGCGAATATTAAACTTTAGGCATGATACCAACTAGGTGTTGTGAATAAAATTCATCCACAACAACCAAGAAATTACAACCTACTCTGGATTCAGTGAGGAGGAATGAACGATAACCAAATCTACTCTCCCTTCTCCACTCTATGCCAAGCAGCAGAAGCACTATGAGAGATGGGACTATCCATGCTTCCGGGGAAGCTTGACTCTCTCTCTCTCTATACTCTCTCCCTTCTCCACTCAATGCTGAGCAGCAGAAGCACTATGAGAGATGGGACTATACCGTGCTTCCCAGGACACTTGACTCTCTCTCTCTCTCTCTCTCTCTTCCCCCCCTCCCCACTCCCCCAAAAAAAAAAATAAGCCGCCTTAGCCCTCTAATAATTCATGTAGTACTTTTCCAGAAAAGCTACATGATATTAGGAATATGACATTCACTTTCAATTACTTTAAAGGCACTTCTCTACTATCTAATTCAACTCTTACTTCCAATTTACCTACGCTATTTGTTGTTAATGGATCTGCTTTGTTTACAAAGAGCTAAGGATCTGTTTTCTTTCCCAAATCAAAATTCTCAAATGTTTATCGAAAGTTATCTTCCTAATTGACTATGAAACTTGTTTCAGTTCATCTAAGTAAAACTCTAATATCACTATATTTGTGATGTGTCCGTTGTTTGTAATCTATCAATATGAAAACCTTATTGCTAGATGCCACAGAGTGGTAACCGTTCAATCTCGATAACTGCTTGAAGTTGAAACCTTCAAAGTTTACCTCTGGTAGACGACATGAACACTCTTGTGATGTGCAAACTTGGCAATGTTCATTTTCGTCATCCAAACCATTTTCTTCTTCTAGCAAAAATCACGATAATGTTTCCAACTGTGCGACTTAACATCAAACACTGCCATTTGACCCTTTTGAAGATGATAGCATAAAATACATCATCCCTTAGGCTTCAGCCTACTGGTAAACATCGTGGCTTGGTTTGCAGTTTTTCCAAGAAAGACCAAACAAGCTGACCCACCCTTTTGGGATTCAGGCTTCTGCTTGATTGGTTAATGTGTTGAATCATTGATGATTCCAGCACTATGTCTCAAGTTAGAATCCTACCATTGATCTACCAAAGGAAAATAGCACAGCATGTTTATCTTTTTTTCTATTTTAATAATAATCTCTGTTAATAATGCAAAAGAATATCATGACATGTTATTATACTGTGCATTCTAATGTCTAGGGACCACTTGAGAATTGGGTCCTCATATTGTCTCATGTACTGATAATGTTTTCACACACACATGGGTATTATAGTTACTCATATATGTAGTAAAACTATGACTTGATACATTTAACAAGGTCCTTAACTGATCATGACTTCTAGTATGAGGAATATGCACAGTTTGTATGTTTATGTAGTACGAGGGGCATTCTTTTAACATGTGGGTACCTAGCATGTTATTCACAGGTTTATTACGGTAATTTTGCACAAATGTACTTAAAGAGATTTACATTTCTTGAGTTGTCTCAATTCTCAAATTAATACTCTGGACTAGCTCTAAGTCAAATAAGCGACCACATGACAATATCTATGTTAAAATCTATTGTCCATAAGTCACTCCCTATATATTTTCATGAAACAGGTGAAGAAAAGAATCATATTCTATCACAATAAGGCCACATGTAGACTGAAAAACAGACATCAAGGGCATGGTTTCAAAGAACTAAGAAAGTGGTTGCTGATATAGGCTACAAAGAAAGCAGATACGATCAATTAAGAATTGCTTTCTAATGAGCTATAGTTGAGAAGAACAGACAGCAAGATGACATTATCCTATTTTCATGTGAACGGGACAGGGTAGACAGAGAGATGACTAAGAATGTATTGACATCGTAATTAGACATATTTCAATATTAAAATTCTTCATAAGCTAAATATACACCCCTGACATTGAAAGGGCTAGATCATGGAAGGGCATCCTTGCAAAAGCATGCTAGTAATTTCTTTTTCTATTGCTAACATAAGAGAAAAACAATAATTTGATGTTAGATAAAATTCGTCGAAGTAGATAGAATAGAAAAATAAAAAATATAATATAGGAAATGATAAAACCACAAAAAGAAAATCAATTATATAAATTTAAATTGAAACAATGAAAGTCACCCAAAATTTCAAAGACGATCTTCCAATAGTTGCGCTGGTTGTGAATCAATCCCTCCAATCTTTTGAAAGCATCCTTAAACACCCAAAATTGAAAACCCCAAATAATATCTGAGATTCGAGTTTGCCATGCTCTGGAAAATTATGAGTGAATAGTATATCCTAACACAAATCTCACAAATCCAAGATTTTTAGTCTTTTTTTTATGAGAAACAAGCCCATGATTAGATAAAGAATGCAAAAATAGGCCTAACTAATAATTATCATTCAAATCGAACAATGGCCGCAAAGAAATGGCAATTTCTCAAATTTGGCCAATACCCAGGTTGAAATCTTTGATATGTCAAATCCATAAATCTATTTTTATTTTCTCAAATCCGATATATTCAGTTGATAGATCACGCAAAAATGACTGTAAGGCTGAAATTTGGGGTCGATTGGAAGCTTCAATGGAGAGAACTAGGAAAAAGGGGGTTTGGATTTCTAGTCTCCCTTTTTTATTTCAGGAAAAAGTGTTGAACTTGGCAAAGTTCTAACAGACTTGCCGAGTTCCAAGTTCTACAATAACTTAGGTGAGTTGCTACAACAACTTGATTGAGTAATGTACCAGTACACTACGCCCCCAAGTTGTTTTCTTTTTATTTTATTTTTTTGGTTTCTTTTTTGTTCTTTTTTTGTGGGGGGGAGGAGGAATTGAATTGTTTGAGTCCAAGTGCACTTGGACAGTTGGACGAGTTTGCTAACACCGATCTCGACACCATTCACATATTTCAGGTGAATTATCAGATAGCACGAAAATAACAAAATGTTTTCATATTAGCCTGCAATCCATTCACAGATAGGCTTTATCAAGTAAAGTGTAATAGCATGTCACTAGGATGACCACTATAAAGCCAAATGCATACCCAAAATACTGGGAAAGGATAGACTGCATAATATCTTAGCCAAGCAAGACATGATAATACCAGTTCATCAGCATGATAGTAACTAGTAAGTGTAAAAGTTCTATGTAAAAAGGGTATTATATAATTTGCACGAAGTTGCACTGCCACCTATATGACAGCAATTTTAATCCATTAACAATACTAGAAGAAAAATACACACCTTATCCTGGAGAGGATATTATGTGACTTCCTATTAAAAGAAAAACTTATCTCATATTTTAAAAATTTTTTCGACAAGGAAAGGGAAAGATGTTCAATCCTCAATGAGATACACACCACCCCCAAATTCAGGGTCATCAGAAACATGATCAAATGGATATAATACTCACACCCAATGCCACCACAAGCACATCAGAGAAAGATGAAGATAACTTGATTTATAAAAGGTATCTGAAACATGATCAAATGGATATAATACTCACACCCAATGCCACTACACGCACATCAGAGAAAGATGAAGATAACTTGATTTATAAAAGGTATCTGAACCATGCTCAAATGGATATAATAATCACACCCAATGCCACTACAAGCACATCAGAGAAAGATGAAGATAACTTGATTTATAAAAGGTATCCTAATATTCACGAATATAAGTAGCATGCAACCAATTTAAAGATAAAATAAGAAGACAAGCAATCATCCTTCAAAGAGAACAAATCGTGAGGAAGCCATAAGAACACTATTGGACAAGCAAGTTGTATCTAGAGAAAATTAAATACTTTCAATGTCATAGCCAAAAATGCAGCATTGCAGTGATAGAAAATGTAGGCCCCCGCTTTCTTCTGAACATGAAAGTGTAGCCCAATCAACATAAGAAAATTAATTGGGAATCCAAAGGATACCAGAAAAGCTACTAACAAAATAAACATTGCAACTTCGTTCTGAAAGCATCGCTACATGATCAAAGCCGGTCCAAGAATCCCAAACAGAAAAACAAATAGAAAAAAAAAGGGAAATAGATAATGCAACCCATACTAAAAGAATAATTTTTCTCATTTAGAACTTAAAAAAACAAGCAACTAGAAGGAAAAACCAAATAAAATGATAGAAAAAAAAAAAAACAAACAAACAACTAGAAGGGAAAACCACATAAAATGATAAAATAAAAAAAAACAAGAAGACCGCCACCTCCACAAACCTAATCAACCAAAGCTAAGACAAACAACTCACCATAAAAGCCAAATATTGCCAATGTCATATCACTAAAAGAAATCCTCTTACCACAACGTAAATCCCAAACGGAGAAGAGATATCATTCGAATTCAAGCGCCAACAAAAAGAACCACAAAACTCTGGGAAAGATTTGAGTCTCAGGAAACTCAAGGATATCTCATTATACGTAAGAAACTGATTCTACCAAGTTGGGTTAATCAACACAATTATCACATGGAAGAATAACCACATTTCCCACACACGAGGACCCATAGTGTGATTTCATCCTAGTACACGTTTAGAGTTAGAAATTGGTACCTGAAATCTCCATAACCCAGAGAAGCACATAACAAATCCACAAATAAACAATCGGAAATTGGGCAGAAAACCCCATAAGAATAACGGCGCACGATGACTACAACTCCACATCAGAAAAAAGAAAAAAGGAGAAAAAAAACAAACATAAAAATGAAAACCCAACAATGGTTAAAGCTCCAAAGAGTAAAAATAATTAAAAAGCAAAAGAGAAAACGGAAAAACCTTCAATAATTCCCAAAAACACAAGAAAAATGGGGTAATTCAATAAAAATGAAAACCCATCATTCATGCCTACCACAAATATTTCAGATAGGCAACAAACAATTCCCAAACAAACAACCAGAAAATGAGGAAATAACCCATAGAAATCAAATTCCATCAATGTTAGAAAAAACCATCTCTAATTCAACCTCCAAAGCACATTTATCAACAAGAAGTAATTCCCAAAAAACCCATCAATATAGCAAAAAAACCCCACAAAAATAAAAACCCAGATACCAGTAAAATAGCAAAACACCCATAAAAATGAAACCCATCTCTGTATCTGACTCTACAACATCTATATCAGCAAGAAATAAAAAAAAAGTGGAAAGATTAACTATAAATCAAGACACACACAAAAAGAAAAAAGAAAAAGAAAAAGAAAAATCCTGGTACTAACCAGCAAAGTACGAGTAGCGAATTCTACGCCAATAGTGGACTTGGATTCGAGGCAAAACTCGTTTCTCGTGAACCTGCTCAGTAAATTGGACTTGCCCACTCCTGAATCGCCGATCAATACGATCTTGAACAAATAATCGTACTCCTCGTCCGGTTTCCTCGCCATCAAATTCAATTAATAATCACCAAGCCAAACCAGGCACAAGCGTCGGTTAATATGTTCAGGTTTTTTACAAATATATTTGACCTTAAATTCTCATTTAAGAGGTAGTAAGTGTACAGTGCACTCCAATGGAAATATATATATATATAAATGAAAAATAATTCTATAGAGCCATCTTCCATCCATATGTGTCGGACCCCAAAGGATCACCATTAAATTTGACATATATATCTAAAAAAGTCAAGTCTCACATTTATGTGATAACTTTTTTAGAGATCCATGTCAAATTTAATGGTGATGTTTTGGTTACTACACATGAGTGGGAGAGGGTCATATAGGAT